ATCGATGAATTGTTTACCTACTGCCATCCCTAATCTCAATGTACACAACAGATGGTGCAGATATCTCCACCGCGTCTGCTATAAAATTAAACTTGTCCCTTTTCTGGTTACCGTCAGACAAAGAGATGGCACGAACGAGAGGAATCGGAAGGATCAGACTCTTGATTCCTTGTCGGATGTTATCCTGCCAGTTGTACAAGGCATAGCCGAGACCTGTCGCCGCAACGAATGCGGTACAGGTTAGGAGCCTTCTCGCTCCGTCACTGAGTACTATTCGTCCTTGCTGCAGCTGCTGTTGTTGCTGCTGCTGATGCGAGTGGAATGTCCGAGTTCCAACGTATTGTTTGGCAAACACGAAAGTCGCGAGTCGCAAGACATTCGAGTTGCTCACTCTCGCCAAAAAAGTCCATCGCACGAGCGACCAGGAAGACGCCATCTTCAAATTGCAGGATTTGCAAGATGAGCCGGTGCTGGGCAAGCGGCGGACAATTGGTGAAAATTGGAGATTTCGACGGAATTTGAATACGCGTGATTATATCGAAAGTCCATTTTCGAGTAAACTTCTGGAAGGAAGAAATTGTTATTTCGGGCTGGCACCCAATCGACTCGCAGTGATTTCGAATCTTCGCGCCCAATCGTCTGCTAGGCACATCGGTGATCTTCGACGTCTTCGGTAAACCTCGTGCGATCTCCTCGCGCTGATTGGCCGAAAAATCAATATGGCACGTGCGCCGCTGTTAAACTCAGCGTGGAGAAATTTCGTATAACATCAAAAAGAAATTCTAAAAGGGATCCGGGAAACATCCCGATGTTTTACGTAATTTACGTAAAACTGTCAAAAGGCCTGTTCTTTTTGATTGAACTTTAAGCTGAACGAATCATCCCAAAAACTTTGACAAATTATAAAAATATATATACATCATTTTATTATATCCAAAATATATATAAAACTCTCAATAAACCGTCTTTAAGACAATAATTCGATCAATTCTTATAAGATTACATTACATAGGATGTCTTTCGATCTTATGTACAAATTTTGCGTGCTGTGTTGTCAAAATTTGAACCAAATTTATCTTGATTTTTGGACAAAAATTATTCCATTTTACGGTATTGCAAAGAAAAAGGATCGGATGGGTGCGAGTGTTAGAGGGCCTCTATGTATAAACAAACTTAATTATTTTTACAAATTATCTATAAAATGTATATAAATAATTTGATTGCAACATATATTTTTTTAACTTTTTTGTATAGTATATTTTTTTCAAAAATAAAGAAAAAAGGGAAAAGGAAGAACTTAAACAGCAAGCTGACATCATTTGATCAAATGTCTTTAATATTATTTTGAAATGACGTGAATTTGCTGAAGTGAAAAAAAAAGAGGACGTCAATTGAAGTCGACGGAGGTAAAAGCAATGTATTTCCTTAAGATATCCTATTATAATTTGATCAGATTGATCCCATTCTGATCCAAAACATTAAATCGTCCATATAATTAATTCAGGACATTTGTAATTATCATTATACAAATTTAAAACGTCTCTAAAATATTCTATTTTGATCCGAAAAAATTTTGATCATTACTATATTAATAAATGCATTTTCCAACTTTCGACGTACATCCCAGCAAACAAGAATGGATTGAAATTTTTTTCTATCCGAATGCGTACTTTAAATAGCGAATACTTTTTTTGGATTTAATTGGATTCAATTAGATTCAATTGGATGCAATTGAATTGAAAAACTGCATTTCCTATTCAAAATTTTGAATTGAACAGTATTCATAATTATGTTTGTGTGCACAAAAAAAGCTAATATTATTTTTAGATTGAAAGGAGCATAGAGATATGCTCCAAGCAATTCCAATAAATGAATAAAAATGCATTCAAAATTGAAAAACATTCATTTTATCATTCGTGAATCAATATTTCTGAAAATCTGAATCCATTTCCATTCATTTCAATCCATTCTCTTTGCTGGGATATATGTCATATGCATTTACGTATTTTATGTATATTATTATATATTTTATGTATATTATAGAGATATATCTTTGCAATTTAATTGTTTTTAAATGTATACATAAATATCCCACATTGACACACTGAACTACAGTATAACTAGGGACTTCGTGCACCTTTGATCGTATCACTAATCATGAGCATTCGCCATGTTAATTTACATTATTTTATTAAGCTGTGGTCAAAGTTTCGCTACAAATGCTTTGAAGCGTTTGTGATGGACCAATTAGAAGAAAGAATTTTATAAACTGACCAATTAAAAAACGCTTCAAAGCGTTTGCAGCATCATGTTGACCGTATCCTTTATTTACATTTACATTACTGTCTCATATACATACATTACACAAGCATACTGTCATTACATATACATTACTATCGTCTTGCATTTCATATTGGATCCGACTCAAAACAAAAGCTGCGCAGCCATATCTGCGCATTTTTTCGCAAGTGACCCTACTCTCATGGACTGTCATGGGGCCTTTGAAAGTTTTTTTAAATAGAGTTATTCATAGTTTTTGTGACGCATATTCATTTCCTGTTTTTGTGTCGAGACGCGCATATACCCTTGTAAAAAATACTGCACAATATTCACAGTTAGTGCTCAATAGTATTTTTCTATTAGATTTTTTAACACCCTAAAAGATATTTTAGGACGTCCACTGGAATCCGAATTAAAAACAGGATGAAATTTGGTCATCCAGAAACATCTTAATGATATCTATAATGATATTTAAACGACGATGTCCTATGTAAAGCGAATATATAAACATCCTCAGTACATCTTAAATACCTCTTAAGTTTTTTCAAATATGTACTCTGAATATTTGAAAATCCCTTGACATACATCTGTAGGATGTATCTAGGATCAATTTTTGCTGTATGGGAAGCTAACTTGTTTTTGCTACATTATCTATGAAAAATGTATATAAATAATTTATATTGGCAAGAAAGTAATTGCGTTTTTTAAGCTCAAAGTTATATACACAATATCTTCATCAATAATGAATAAAATTTAAATTTTAAAAAATCGTTTTAAAGCTTGAAATCTCTACTTTTAAAAGCTTATTACATTTTTTAAGTTTATATGAGTTTGGTTTTTTTTTTACATACCAAAAACTACGAACTGAAAAAGACGGAAAATTTTCTTCTCATTTTATGGGTTTGTAACGTGCCCAAAACAAATTTGAGAAAATTTTCGACTACCTGTCGTGAAAACTTGATACTTTCCCTACAAAATTTCTTAATATTCCTACGATTTTTGGTTACTCAGTTATCGCGGATTAAATAAAAGGAACATTTTGACTTTAATTGCTTACAATTCCGTTAAAAATTGTCGTATCGCAATTTAAAAAAGAAATTCTTAAATCTCTTAAATCTCTGAAACTTCACTCTATCAAGATATATTTATATTGATTGGTAAGAAAGTAATTTACTGATTTTACTGATAGATACCTTTTAAAAAAACGCAATTACTTTCTTGCCAAACCAATAAATGTAATATTTTATAATTTTTTTATACAGTATTTTTTTATACAGTATTTATGTTGTAGTAAAAGTAAAAAAAAGAAAAAGAATAAAGAATTCCTAGATAGCAAGCTGTTATCATTTGACAAAATAATGACAAATAATGTCAGCTCGCTGAAGTCAAAAAAAGGTTGATTATAATCGACGAAAATGATGGAGGGCCTCTCAATAATCCATAGAGAAAGACTGTGGCTGTTATTAATAGATCGCCAAAAATATCCATGATTATATAATTGTATGTGCACACTTTGTATATATAGAAGCGTCAATAAATGAGTTTCATTCATTTCAAACACAGGTATCTATTCTCAACCGTTTAGGTTTTTCTCTACACTATTATCGGAGAGAAACTTGAGAGAGCCATCTCGGCCATCCCGGTATTTCTCGAAATTAAACGGGCTGAAATTAAATTAGCAACATTTTTTTAGAACACAATATATTTAAAATATTTTTACAATATATCTTTTGAGAGTTACTTATTACTTTCTATTGAAATATCTATATATGTATATTTTTAAAATTGTTTAACATCTTACATTATTTAAGACAGTAGGAGTACTATTAATGGCTATACGTTCAGTAGAGAAAGCAACTGTTGTAAAATTTTTGTAAAATTATTTAATATGATTAGTTTATGTATTTAAATCCATAAAGAACCAAAGGCAAGATCAATCGTTTAAAAGAATTTTACAACAATTGCAAAGCTGCAGTTTTCTTTGTTAAATGCAGCTATATTTATTGGAAGTTAATACTTTGCTAATGAATCTGCGCATATGAAAAAAAACTCGACTCATATCCAGAGACAATCTTATCGCCAATACATATATAGCTACGTAGTTCCTAATTATAATTATTCACATAAAAAGAGAGAGAGAGAGAGAGAGAGAGAGAGAGAGAGAGAGAGAGAAAGAGAGAGAAATATAACTTTCAATAACTTTCCAAAATATGTCACCAGTATTTCAACAAAAGATGACACGAATGTTTCCATATTTATTTCCATAATTATTGTTTATGCAATAGTCACAAAAGAAATGATAATAATAGCAATAATAATTTTGTTGAATGCAAATAATAAATACTTCGACTCAAATGAACGCAATTAATCGTAATGAAGTTTATTTTCTAAATAAATTGTAAAATTATTTAATAGTTCTATAATATTGCAAGTGATTTTTCAAATCACTTGATAAATGTATGTATCACTTGATAAATGTATCCGTGGATATACTGAGGATTCCAGTCAGAGGAAGAAGAGAAAAAAAATTTATTTTTATACAAAACTTATTAAAATATTTATATTAAAGCCAGCTTTTATTCGTTCAGCAGCTTCAGACTTCTATATATAGAAGTCTGTGGCAGTTTCTTAAATAAGATGTGCTGGAGTAATCATGATTTATTATTGATCTGTCTTTATAAATACTATTAGAGCACACAATAATTAAAGACACACAATAATTTTGTGAAATATTTTACTGCATATTTTATATTTTGAAATTTTATTTACAAAGAAAGTAAAGATGGAGATACAATAAATACTGATAATAAATTCAAAAATATACTTATATTATGTGTGGTATAGTAATTTTATAAAAAGTTAATATTATTTATGCATATAGATAAATTTTTACCGTATCAAAATAATTAATAATACAAAATAAAATTCATTCATATAGTCACTATAATCACAGTATTAAGTTTGTATTGTTTTGTTATATAATTAAATAAGTAATTTATATTTTTTATGAGAAATACATATATTATGTGTCTTGATATATTATTAAATTATATTGAATATAGCAAAAAATGTTTTTTGTTCTAAAAATAATTACGCTACATAATTTATAGATTTGCATTTTTTATTATTCTATCATATTCTTTTTATTTGTTTCATTATCGATACTGCATAATTGTATTTTTATAAAGTTTAAAATGTTTAAATATCAATGATTAATATGAAATTAGTTACACTATTGAAGTATTTCGTTAGAGACTTCGTTGCCTGGGAGTATTACATTCACATTATCATCAAGTTTTCGATCATTGTCGACATCGGAAATTTTGCATGATGTATCCATATGGCAGAATGCTAAACAAAATATTTTTCATATACATACTTCACTTATATATTTATAACGTGTTAAATAATTTTAATTTTAATATACATATATGTTTTTTCAGTACTACATGATTGATAACTTTTAATTTTTAATTGCAAAGTAATTATTTTACAATTACTGCTATCAATTTGTTATATCAATCTATTATATCAATCTATTATATAAACAACGTTTCCTATTATAATATCTACATAATATTCCAATTCTGTTATGGATTTTTGATGCAAATTTTATTTACTTCGATTAAGAGTGCTGTGTTAAGAATATAAATTTTAAAAGATGAAATTAAAATTTCCAATTTACAAGAATTTTTCAATTTACCTTGCGAGCAACAAATTCCGTTTGAAGCGCATCTTGCTGTATTTCCACGACACATTGCGTATCCAGCAATGCAGGGTCTGGTGTATAAACTTTCCTTTCTGCATCGAAATGTTTCTGGTGTTCCTATGAAGCAACCGATACTAGGGCCACAGCAAATATAAGGCCCAAAGCATTGACCCAGATGATTAGGACCACATGAAGGACACTAGGAGAATGTTATGGTAAATATGAACGAATTACATTTTGTGTATTTACTTATGACTCATGAAATTACTTATGACTTATGACTTATCATTAATAATATTTATGTGAATATTTTACTAGGAAATAAATAGAAAAAATTTTAAGATTTAAACATCAAGATATATTTTATTTCATTATATAAAGAAAATTTTTTTGTAATTTTTTGTTTCATATATTTCCATAGATAAACATCTTCTAATTATCCAATTAATTATTAAATAATATGAACAATTTTTGTCAATCAATTAAAATTAAACCTCGAAATTTTTTGTTCTTCTGAAATTTTGTTACAATTATGCTACAGCTCCGTTCCGTTATTCATTCGAATTTCATGCGAATACTGAAAATCTATACAACTATACGTGAATTAGATTTTCAATTACTCGCAGTAAATAACGGAACGCAGACATTTGTTTCTAAGATTAATATAATTTGTTTCTATAATAGTATAAATTCTCTATTGATCATCTCCTAAATTTTCTTTAATACAAATCGTCAAAATTTTATCAGTGCAAATAAAAATAAGTACAATTCTTGAATTAATGTAACTATTAAAATCATTATAAATAGAAAAGAGCAACAAATAATAGAAGAGATATATAAGATAAATAAATTCTAATTATTTAATTTTTAATGACATGTTTAATTGAGTAAATATAAGAATTTGCTAAAGTCTTTATAAAATAAAATTTACTTGCAAGATGATTAAAATCGAAAGAATTTTACTGTAAAGATAAAAATATAATGTAATATAACATACTTCTCGAATAACAGTTCTCAAAGAAGATGCTACATCACTCCTCTTTCCGCCACGAGGACAATTCGTAATCAAACAAGCATAACTCAGAAAAATCAAACTCGCAAAAACAATGAGTTCCTTTAACATCCTGAAGAGATTTTAGCGATGTTGTGCAAGATGATATACAGACGATCGAAAAGATACTACTGTACCTCCTGAGAGGCTCTCTCGGGTATTTATACATATTGAATCTCCTTACTTAAAATTCTTTCTGGGTATTCGGGAATATTTCCACTCGAAATGCAGCACTCTAAAGATTATGGAAATCAAACAAGCCGATCTCTATGTGAGAATAAATGTATAATAAGATATACTTCTATTCATTGTTGCAGAAGCTAGGTTCTAACTTTCTTTGCTATAAATATATATAATATTTATACCAATAAAATTCACATAAAATTAAACACTTACTATAATATTATATAGAAACATTTTTAATTTCGTTATTTTATTAGTAGCGGCTTTTTATTTTTTAATTCTTATTTTTAATTCTTATTTTTTCTTGGTTTTAAAACTTTCTTTTTATCAACTAGGATGGCTTTTTGTTTAATAATTTCCATAGAGTGTCCAACTTTACTTTTCTTAATTGTTTTTAATTCATAGTCTGCTTTGCGTTTCTTTATATTTGTCTCAATTGTGATTTCCCTAGAAAACAAATTAGGACATTCTTTCCTAGTATGACCTATAAATAAATTAATATAATATTAATAGAAGCACAATAATTGGAAGTTTTAGAAGTGGTCACTGGCATTTACCTAATTTATCACAGTTGAAACATCTTCCTATAATATTCGGTATTGAACCACATGTGTGTTTCTCTAACATACATCTTTTGCAAATTCGGCAATGTTTCCAAGTAGGTTTTACACATCGTTTACATATATTGCAGTGCTTGTACGTTCGACCATCTTTAGACGTACATTCTTTACACTTCTTACAATGCTTGTTTTCACTAGAAACCCACTTTGCGCAATCTTGACAAAATTTATATCCATCAGATGAAGGAAGTTCTAATAGATTTAACGGTATATTCGTGAAAATTCTCACTGGAGAACCTTGCTTTCTACCATGTTTTTCTGATATAAATAAGGGATGATTATCATAATCCACTTTATAATCAGACATTTTTAAATCTCGTAAGCCACCAATGACATGAGATGGATTGCTCTTTTCTCTCATTATATGCTCCATAAAATATGGAAATATAAAAATGATTTTCAAGAAAAAATTGTCATTACAAGCATGTTTATTTAATTTTTTATGCAGGTCAAATATCGTTTTTATCGTAAATGATATAGGTTCCAAACGGCCACCAAACGGAGGATCGCATATTAAGTAAGTGTCCTTTCCTTCATTTTGAGTAAGAAAATCTTTGAAAACATTAATGGCATTTTTGTTAAAAAAATGATGATTAAAAAGATTGTACCAACAATAATCCAGCGGTCCAAAAAAGTTATGCTAGAATGTAAAAAATATATTTAGTAAAATATATGTATACTTATAAAAATTATTAAAGTATATTATAAATTGATGATTTTTGCTAAAATACTCACAAATCTTCCATCAAAATCCAAAAGGAGAGAAGATATTTTATCTGTATAATGCTCGATTATATATTCATGTATTCTTGGTGTGCCAATACAAAGGATCTGTTTAGCTCCAAGTTTCAAAAGCATATTTATTATAGTCTCTGTAGATTTCTTAGAAAATAAATATTGCGCTTCCTTCTTCGTATTTTCTAAATGTCTTAAAAGTTCTGTTGGATGATGCATCTGATAATCAGTTAAATTCTCTGTAATCTCATGATCCATATGCTTATCTTTTTCAGAATTGAATATTAATTTTTCACAATTATGACAATAACTCCTGTTCGCCACAGATTCTATCTTAAGTTTATTAAAGCGAATATATAATTCTTGATGAACATAACGCTGAGCGAACTTCTTATTTTCCAGCTCCCACATATGCTTTTGAGATTTTGACAGTTCTTGCCCATATTTTAAATAAAATCTGCATAACTTTCTGTCACGGCAAGCAGAACATGCATAAAATTTTTTAACTCCCTCTTTGACATATTTTCCAAATAGTAATGTCGGTCCTGCAGAAAAAGGTTAATTTGTTTCTAAAAGAACCGATTTTTTTAAATATAAATATAATAAACTTTGTGTATAACATGAAAAAATTACCATGAGGACAATGTGGATAATTTATGGGATTTCCCCACAAACATTCTACACCACGTGCATCGTTCATAATTTTGTCATTTGTAAACAACAATTCACAGGTGAGTTTAGGTTCTATCAGACTCTATACATATATTAGATGATAAATCAGGAATCGCGATAATTCACAATTTTTATCGCTTGAGTCATGCCATTTGGCGCCAAATATGATTTTAAGGAGGATGTCTATTATATTTCAAAATTATATTTGTATATTATGAAATATTTATATTTTGTTTAAATGTTAGGCTTATATGAATTTTATTTATGTAGACGATATAAACAATGTAAAATAATAAATTGTTACAAACTAAAAGGAAAAAGTATTATTATTAACCTACTTTCACATCTCGGAAATGGAGCTTCTTGAAATATTTTAAATTAATAAAATTATACATTGCAATTGAAATATTTTAAACAACTTCAATGATTGGTTTATTTGAAAAACTTTGGAAGATGCAAACTAAAGAAACTGTAATTCAAACTGTAAGTCAAAAATGTGTTTTATTATGATTTATTCTACAAGTGCTGTGACTGTTTACCGTTTGGTGTATGCAAATTTTCTTATTATTACAATTTCTAGAAACATAATAGCAGATACATATAAGGGGCATGTCAAGCCTCTATAATTTTTATGTATGATTTTACGACCAATGTACATACAAATTTTCCTTTCGCAAAAAATAGGTGAATTAAAAATTTATATCACACATATACATAATATACGTACATATGTAATAATATTTTATTTGAAGCTCAAAAAAAAGATCAAAAAATATTATTTTTTTTACAAAGAGAATAATTTTTTTTCAATTGTTTATTTTAGATATTGCGAAGTCTAATTCGTGTTAAATTTTCGCCAATTCACCTATTTTTTGCAGATCATTCATAATACTGCGCAGCTAAATGCAATAGCACACATCACATAGGTTTGATAATAAATTTGCATTGGATCTTACATTACATTCATTGAACAAAATTTAAGACTTCCTTAAAGTAATTCTTTTTTAAATTAACAGTAGAGCAAGTAAATATACAAGAGCTTACGTTAATCAAATTAAAATTAAAATCCTTCCTAAAAGAAAAAAACGTATCTGAAAACAGTCTAATTTTATTCTTATTCTAAAGCGTTGCAAATGTTTTTAGAATGCACGCTTTCAATAAACTCTGCTCGTGAATTTACTCTCTAGTAACACAATTTATTGGCGATATATTGGTTAAACATTAGCATGCATTTAGGATATATTTTTTAGGATATATATTGGGTCAGTATTGCGCCAATGAATTATGCTAGGGATCTGTATGCATTCTATATGCATTCTGTAAAATTGTATCACAGACTATTGCTAAGAGTAAAAAGAATATTCGCTAAAAATACGAGCTTAGAATTGCTATAAATGTCAATATGTTTCCAAAGCGTTTTCAACGGGGAATGGAAACCATCGAAATGAGATAGATTATTTACATTAGTGGGCAATGTAAAGTCATGTTATATTTATTATAGTTTCCTATAATAAATATAAGATTTATGTAATATTTTTCCGATTCTCCTACATCATTGATTTACATATAGATCAAGGAGAGTGTATCCTGCAATTTTATAAGCATATACTCGATATATTGACTATAATATTGCATTGCTGGCTCTTGAATATTTTTATAGTAAGTTTGTAACATCTGTTAAAGCATCTAAAATTATTAACACTAATACAAATGATTTTAATACATGAACTTATTACTCAGTTCTGCTCTGTTGTAATTAAATTATATCATGATTGTAATCTTGTAACCACATTTACAAATTTATAACTTAATCAATTTTTTTATTTAACAAAAGCTTTTAATTTTTTCTATTTATATATTTTTTAATAATTCTAAAACAATTATATATTTATATTATCTAA